CCTTCGAAATCCACATCTCCAACTAACTTGGGTTTAGCAGTTATGGGATCTTGAACTCTATTTATTCCAACATCAATCACAGCTGCTCCTTCCTTGATCATGTCTGCTGTGATCAGATTCGGAATGCCTGCAGCAGACACTACAATGTCTGCAAGAATGGTGTGTTTCTTCAGCTGCTCTTTGGGAGTGTGCCGATGGCATATTGTCACAGTGGCATCCCCTGTAACAGAAAAGCAGGTGTCTTGATTGCTGAATCAAGGATGGGATTGTTAGTTCACACACACACACACACACCTATAATCTACCTTTGTAAACAGTTTTTGGGGGTTTTTTTGGTAAACAGCTTTAAAATGCTATTTCCCCCCTTTTTTTCTGAGCATCTTTGGTCTTAGTCATGCCACCACAGAAATTCAACTCTAAATTAAATCGCTGGTAAATAATTGATTCAGTGCTTGGTGACCACTTACTTGTCTGTTAATTCTGATGTGTTGTGATGGAGCACGTGCTGCACCTGATGCTATTTCACAGATATTTCAAATACCTGCAGAATCACCTGAGGTGAACAGGTTTCCAGTGGAGTTTCTGAACTAAGAACACGCGACCAAGAAGGGATGGGCGACCAAGAAGGGATGGGCTGTCCCCTTCTAAGGGACTAGTCCTGAAAACCCTCTATGAACAGCACTGGAACATCGTCGGATACAGGGTTAGAATACCGCCCTGGGGGTGGAACCCACTCAAAGCATGCCCAAAGAAGAGCAGCCTCCTCCAAGCAGACAGCCATGAGGTAGAAGGAGGAAAGCTCGCAGGCCCTTCTTTTACTGATGGGGCAGAACCCAACGAGAAGAGCTACAAGCATCCACTAATCGTGTGTGTGTGTGTGTGTGTGTGTGCGCGAGCCCCCGTCTTACTCACTCCCTGCCGAGTTGCTGCACTCACAGTGACCCCATAGGACACAGCAGAACTGCCCCTCTGAGTTTCTGAGATTGTTGCTCACAGGAGTCCTAGAAAGCCCCACCCTTCTCCCAAAAGGAACATGGAATATACAATATCCTAAGCCATTTTCTCAGGAGAGAAGAGTCTCTGGAGAGGGACGTCCTGCTTGGTAAAGTGGGGGGGTCCGTGAAAGAGGAAGGCCCTCCACAAGACGGACCGACACCGTGGCCACAACGCCAGTCTCGAAGATGGAAACGACTGTGAGGTCGGCGCAGGCTAAGGCAGTGTTTTATTCAGAACCGACTTGCTGGCACCTAACAACGCTGGGGCCACATTTGCTGGACAGCCAACTGCTCTTTAAGGAGACCCAGGTGGTGCTGTCAGACACACCCGGAAGAACATATAGCCTCAAAAGTCCTGTCATGGGCTCGCTGTGCGTCAGAATCAAGTCTGTGACAATGGAAAGGTACACTGCCCCTTGCTTTTTGAAAATCAATTCTGGACATGTTTATTTTTGTAGTCGTTTTAACCCATGAATCCTCACGCTCCCCATTGGAGTCATGTGACCAAATGTATTGATTATCCTAGTTAACACTCGTAAGGTTTTACCTTTTCTAAGCAGATCACCAGAATCACTCAACGTGTGAGAAGAGAACAAGAGTAGGCTGAAAGCCCTTGTCTCGGAATCCAGGGTTTGATTCTGATTGTGATCACCTGGGGTGACGATGGTGCGTAAGGCTGCTCCTCAAACAAACCACCAGGGCTTGACTCGGTGATACTACAATCACTTCAACTGGGGCTTCCCCAGTGGCCCCCGAGTTCCCTTCCAAATGATTCAGAAGTGGAAACTGCCTTTTGATTGGCGCGCCCACGCCTCCTCTCCTCCAACTCGCCTCCTCTCCTCCAACTATCAGTCACTGAGCATTGCTCAGTGGAAGTCTACCTAGGTCTTTATCTCTGACAACAGGGGACTTCCAAC